ATGGGTGCCGATGTTAACAGCCCCACCCACTCCAAAACAGAAATGAAAAAGGAGAAGAAGTGAAGAAACAAAATAATTTATGACAAGCAGATATTTGACACGAGCCGCTCGACACCCATATCGTGTACATAATTTTGGGCCATGTGTAGATCATAAAAATCTCAACTTCTCAGCTTACAACGAGAGCTCATAAAGCAAAAAGCTATATGCATTTTATTTATGTATTTAGTTTACAGAAGGATAAAGGATGAATGGTCTTTCAAACAATGATCAAAGATTATAATAAATTGAAACATAATTAATGTTGACATTATTAAGAGCATCATCAAGGCCATCCAAACAATGGTATGGATTCATATTAAATGTGTTGCTCATTTATAATGATACTCTTTCTATATAACTATGAAATTGTATGGTTATGTCTTTTTTCAAACCAAAAGTGTCTTTCCGCTTCATTATTTCATCTGTTTCTCTTCCTTATTTAAGCCCGCATATTTTTCTTTTAAATTTCAATTCACTTCAAGGGGAGTTCATTTATTGTCGCTCGGTCTTTTTTTATGAGAAGTAGATGGATATGTAGAAAAAGACGACCAAAAAACGGAGTTGTATTCTTTTTTTTTTTTTGAAATTTTGCAACAAACAACAATTCTTGTCATTCCACGCGACAATTCCGATAGACATTGCCTCGGTTTCCAGGATGTTTCGAATCAAGAAAATTGAGGTTCGAAATGTGGTTCGGCAGAAGACGGCAGCGACGGCGGCGTTGATGGCGTCGACACGACGGCCCGTGTGAGAGCTCGAATACTACAGCGAGATATTTACTGAAGTGGTTAGGGTCCCTCCTCGTTTTCCCTATCCTACTTTGGCGAATCTCGCGTTGTCGCTTCTTCTTCACTTTGAAAAGTTGATGCTCCTACGACGGGAAGGGAGGAGTAAAGCTTCAGCTCTTCTTTTTCTACTACTACGGAAAAAATGCTGGAGGGAGCGAAACGGAGGGGAGTGTGGGGGGTCTGCATCATCTTGTGTACCACCTCCCCCAATCCCATTCCATTCCGCGTTACTTGTGTCGATGTCTCTTTTTTTGGTCTGCGCCCTCTCCGTGGCTGTCCGATTTCTTTTTAATGCTTCTTTTTCTTCTTCTTCTTCTTTTCTCCGGTTTTTTTTTCGTTTTTTTGTATGTGTGTGTGCGCCACAAATTTATACGCAAGGATGAGCTAAGATGAACGACATAAAAATGAGATAGCGCGGTTACCCTTGTCGACAACTTCGATTCTTATGGTCCATTCAACTTGGCCTGAAGGCAATGGATCAGAAGATTTGAAGAGAATTTTGCCCTTCCTCCTTCCCAGCCGCATGACCACGGTTGGTTCTGCTAACTAACATAAAACATACAAGCGAATGCCGCACGAAGGAAGGAAAAAAATTTTTTTGCGGCCCTCCTCCCGATTCCCCGGAGAGATTCGTAACCAATTCCCAACTTTCTAGCAGCTGCCACATCTTTCGTCAAAATCGCCTATTAAATTTAATGGTTATTTGATTTAATATTTGTCAACGCGAAGAGGATCGATGGATTTAACGGATTGCTCGCTTCTCCTTGCTCTCTTCCACATAACTTTTTGCCGGCAGCGTTGGTTTTAGTTTTGACTGAGTCGGCAAATGCCCGCAAAATATTCTGGTTATGAACGCTTTTTGCCGCCCATTGAATATATAATTCGCCTATTATATTTCGAATGTAAATCGCGTTTAGTTTAGTTTAGTTTCGGCTCTGTCGGATAATAATGATGCATGGGGAATTTTTTTATTTCCATTCGAATTGTTTGCTTTGGCGTTTTGTGTTGATTCTAATGCTCTGTTCTCGCCCATCTCATCCAGCGTTTAATTAAAAGTCTTCCTCCAATGCCTCATTAGGAAGTGGGCAAACAAAACAATTCTTGCAAAATGGATGATTGCCTGCACGTGTTGATCTTTAATGCCAAACTTTGCTCCATGATAAATCACGGTTTCCAAAGAGACCTAAGTTAAGACCCTTTGGCATTATCATGTTTTGTGTGTTTGTCCCCACAAATCTAGGATTAAAACGTGTATTTCCAAGAAATTCCAGAATTGTTGGAAACATGTAATCTTTAAAAAAAAATAACGCCTTTTTTAATAATTATTATCTGATTTTTTTAATGCATAGTCTATAGTTGGATCAAAACGTGATGTTCTGAATGTTTTCCTTTATCATATGACGAATTCCAGACTGGGTTATTATTCTCAGCGTTTTCAAGAGTTACTTTTTCATAGTCTGCGTTATATGCAACTAGCTAATTATCTATAATTACCATCATTAAAGGTTACTATGCAGCAAGAAAAAGTCAATCGTTATTTATTGTTCCCGGCAGGAAAATGGGAAACACAATTTTTAGCTGAAAATCTTCAATTTCGCCATTTTACGTCTCTCATTATTCCATTTTAATGAGATAGCCTAATTTCATGGACTCACACTTCAATTTCGTAAATGCCCCTAGCAAATAGATCATACTACATATTCCATACGCCTAGCAATTTCAATATATCGAGGAAAACTGCGCAGATCTGTTTTAGGCTTATTAATTTTTAGTTAACTGGGGCGAGCCGTTGGCACAAAGCTTTATATCTTTAAAGTTGTGCCAAACAGAAATCCAAAAACCATATTGCATCTTTAGTTATTGCAACACAAGTAGGGAAAGAAGATGAGATATAGAGGCGGGGAGGGGGGGGGTGGGTGGAGGACGGATTCTCGCTCCGCAAAAATTCTTCAAGCGGCGGCGCGCGGCTGGCTTCACCATTTTCGCGTCTCATGGGGCGCAACCGCCCTGGCAGGCTGCAGCCATTCCCAATACATTGGTAAAGAATGTCATGATAAACGCAAAAACTGGACTTCAAATTTTTTTCTGGTCGCCTTTGCTTATTTTGTTTGTTGGTGCTGGTGAATGTCTTGCTTCCTTGGTCATGTCTTTTTCAGGCTCACTCCTCTTGAGCTTGCAAGACTTAGGATGATTTTCGCTATAGTGTAGAGCCGGAGATCATTTCTAACTCAATTTGCACTTCACTCTTAATTAATTTACATAAATTCACAATCCCAATAAATGTCACTATTAAGTTTTCCAAGTCTGTTATTTGGAAATGTTGTTTATCTCGGAAAAAAACACACACCAATGCCATAAATTGCTAATTTTGTTGATTCCTAGTCAAGTGTCTAATCGGAGGAGGCGATAGTCGGTTTCATAGTGTGCAAACGATAATATAATACTAATAACTATTTTGATATTGTATAATTCATAATAAGAACTAATTATGGGGGACGACGGGTGAACACTATTCGTCTTTAATACTTGTTCTTTAAATATGAACCACACAGAGCGGTTCAATTATAATTTATATATTACTGCATAATAATTAGATTGTTCAACTTTACTTCAAGATCCCTTACTAATAACTCGAACTCATATTTCTCGTTCCAAACAACGTCGTTGTTTTCTCGGAAAAAGTATGAAGAAACGCGGAGTTGAGTGCTTCGGGAGAAAACGGATTTTTTGTGTTGCTGTCTATGTTTTTGGAAGTCGGCCAGGCCGGCGGCCTTCCTCCCCCAGTATAACACCAATGGAGCAGTACTAGGCGCGAAAAAAAAAGTTTCGCGGGAAAAAAAGAGAAAAAAGTTTTTGGTAGTGGTGATTCGGACGAAGCACGTTTGTGGCGGGGGGAAGGGGAGGGGGACCGAATTAAATTGAGAAGTTAACGTGCTTTTGGGTCCCCATCCTTCAAAACCACGGCGGTCAACTTTTTCACGTGCTAGAGTTTTTGCATTTCAACTCTCAAATTAAAAGAAGACGTCAAAAAAAGAAAGTGTTGCTTTTCTTTGCTTTTTTCTAACGTTCTCATTTATTCTCGTATTCATTTTCATTTTTTTGTTGGTCCCAATTTTTTTTGTTGCTTCTTCTTCCTCCAATTTTTGTGCCTCACTCCAGTGTACGTTGTATATTCCTCCTTCCACACCAATTTCATTCCTCTATGCAAACAATGAAAACTAATAGAAAATTCCAATTATCTTTCATCTAGATACACTGCCACTGTCTCAAAAGATCATTTTTACGCCTTTAATTCTCTATATTCCGTTGTTGGGCTTTTCAACAATTTTTCAGCCTAGCGCAAATTCAATGTCGATTAAGCTCACCACAGAAATGGCGTAAAAATATAAATAATTGTCCGAACTATGGAAAATTAAACAAAAATTTTTTGTGCGTTGGAGCTCTCGATGCGCTTTTTGAAACACTATTCAATGGACAAATATACGTATCCATTTTCAACGTCATTTGTTCACTTATGGGCCGATTGCTTTTCGTTTCCTCCCATTCGAGAACATGGACAAAAAGGGGGAGACATTGCCCGAGGGCGGGCGGCGTGCAAACCTTTCAATACTCTTTTCCTGCTCATAGGTCCCATAACTGTTATGAATGTCAAATATCCGCCCAATGACCTCAGTGGGGAAATGAGCCAGGGCCAGCCGTTTTTCTATTTTCTTCGATTTTTGCTTATTTTTTTCCAGGCTCCCGTTTTTGAAACGAGTTAATTTGTCACCCTATTAGTATACATGATTTTAATGTGAAATGTGTGTCCCATGATATTTGCTGTTCTCTTCTTTTCGGTTTTTATAGGCATTCAGCGTTGAGCTTGTCAGTTTTTTTTTTCGCTTGGAGTCGGGGAGTTTAACCCTCCTCTCCGCATGCTCGTCCGTCAGTTTTTCCCTCTTGTGTTCACATTTGAAAGAAATTTCTCCTAAAGATTGCATTCTTCAGGTGAACACGCCTCGTGTCTTTCTTTTCCTCTTTTATCTTCTTGTTCGTTGCTTCTTTTTTTCCTTCTTGTCATCTTCGCGTTCAAGTATCGAACTTGGAAACCTTAGACGATATTGCAGGACGTAGTTAGATGAGCTCCGAGGTGCGTGGGCTAGCCTGAGATGCGTGGGATCTCCGCGCAGGATGCGGCCTCGCACGCCCAATATCGCACAAGCACTACGCCGACGAGACAGAAGCGCAGAAGACGGTCGACAACATTTCGATTCCGACATCCCTCAAACGTCGAGCCAATACGAGGACGAACACCGATGGTGGAAAAGGCGGCGGCGGCGGCGCGACGCGGACCGTCGCGACAACGCCGACGACGGCGACGACCACCGCGGCGAACCATCGCCACCTCTAGGCTTCATTTATTCAAAGCCGGTGTGCACATCGACGCCGCAACGAAATCCGAGAGACAACGAGCAGGAAGAAGCAAGAAATTGGAAGCAGGAAGAGAAGCGCCGGCACAATTCTAGGCGAAGTCGTCATTCAAATTTTATTTTTCAAGTAAGGTTAAGACAGATGTTCGACTCAAGCGATAATTTTTAGTTTACATTGCTTATCCATCTATTCTCTTTATTCGCCTGCGTAACGTCATCACATTTTGCAAGTTCACATCGATCACAACCTTGCAAGAATTTTCGATTTACACCTCAGGTACTACACCGATCAACGAAAATTTTGTTAAAACAACGCTATACTGGTTTCAGCAACGTGTAAATGCCAGCGAGAAGTGCACCATTTGGTCAGACGCAGAAATACCCGAACTCTGCTCAGCTGGAACTCAGTCACGGCTCCGTATGCTAAGACATATCTACCTTTTTCCAGAACTTCAGCCGCTGTCATTAATTGATGTAAATAATGCAATTTCCAGAATCTCAGGAAAATAGTTAAAGCATTTTCAGCTATTTGGTGGCTGGAAGGATGACAACGGCAAGTGGCAGCTTCAAACCGGCGAGAAGGGCAACGACTGTATTGCAGGCAGTATTAATCGGTGTACCACATGCTTCCAGAGACTGTCAGGTTCGCGTGATTTTCATTTCTAATAGCGCACTCAATCAAAAAACCATTATTACCGCTCTTGAGAAAAATGCAGAGAAAGAAATAAAAGCGAATGTGTCGGAAGAGCGCATCAAATAAAACTACAAAAGTTTTCCTCCATTTTTCTTTTTTCTTCTTCATAATGCCCGTCGTCATCATTTCAAATGTTCTCTTTCCGTTGTTCGCGTCTGTGCGTTTTTTTTATGTAGTGCGCCCCAAAACTACTTCAACCACCCATTTATTCCACTCGCTTTAGACCCAATTCATGGTTTCCCTAACGAGTGTTGGTTCCGGTTGATATAGACGCCACCCTCCATTCTAGCTCGTAAATCAAATATACTACGAGCCTGTCTTCCGTAACTACTAAGTGGTTGTTGAATCGATGAGAAGAACACTCGCTTAACAAACAACAAAAAAAATACACAGCGAACGGAGCTCGAAACAAAAAATCGAGAGGAATAATTGCCGATGCCCCAGCATTTTTATATATTTATTTTTTGTTTGGCAAGTTATTGAAATGGAATGCGATTGGCATTTTTCGAGGCGAAATGAAATGAACGTGGGAAGAGGAAATCTTTCAAGTGGAAAAATGGAACTCGCCATGTTGTTGCTGCTGCTATATTCCCGACGAGGCAGCCTCCTGCTTTTTGGACTGTGATCATATTACTTTCGTGGAATGTTGTTGGTTACATTAGGCGTGTCCAATTCTTAATATCAACACTGCTGGATGGAGGCATTTGGCGCCTTCGCCAAAATATCCCATACATCTACGTATATATATACGCATTTTGGCCGAAGGCCTTGGATATATAACACGTCCTTGAATCCCCTGGAGACGATCTTCTTTCCTTTTTCTCTCGATTTGCCGCACAGCTCGTGGAGCCTTCAACCCAAAAACTAGAGGGGTGGCTGGTTGGTTGGTGCAACAAAATCGTTTGAGTGTGTTCTCTAAAACTTGCTTTCGCCTCCTTCAAAACGTAAATAGAATTCCGATTAAAACCAGTCCATGTATGAATTGCGTCGAATGAGTTGGAAAAGAAGACGAAGCTAGAAAAAATAACGGACCAGTCCAAGGAAGGGACGATGGGTGGCTACAACTCGATACGGGGAAAGCTTTCAATTTAGTTAGATGTGATTAACAAGATTAGTAGAATTGAGTCCTCCTTTGAGAAAATGGAAAGTGGAAATCCAATTTTGTATTGTGTTTCAGGAATTCTTCGTAAGCTGGATGAAGCATTCAAATCGTTTGATGTCACACTGTCGAGATTTGATTGCTTACCCGCAGTTGATACTGCCTCAGCAACGCGGCCATTCTCGCCCAATGCCACATGTGAAAATTGCAAGGTGGGCAATTTATTCATTATCAGAAGATGCATAAGAAATATGGATTAGGTTTTAAAGATATCAACTACGGTATCCCAAAATAATGATAAAACGCCTAAATTGAGAACATGCGATTCGAAAAGTTATAATTTTGAAATAAAATTATTAAGTAGAAAAAATTATGAAGGCGAACGGGTAAATCCAAAAAAAATTTAAATTTTAAAATTATTTTATAATCTTGTATATTTATCGACAGATGTAATCAACACACGGTCAATTATATTGCCAAATTGAATTTCCAAATTAAAACACCATGTTCTCTAGCAATTCTTTACATGTTATAGAATTTGAATTCTGTGAAGATTTTCCAGTTTTTTGGACACATTACTCTATGTTCATCGATGTTCAAACTTTCCCATTGAATACATTTGAACATCAAGATTGGCAAACATTTTTTCATTTTAATGTTATACAATATTTATAAAAATAGTTAAGGAGACCAATATCGGGTACTCAACCAAAAGTTTAAATTTTTAAAAACGATAATTTCCATGAGAATTATTCACAATTGATCTCGAGTTCTTTTTCTTCATTTATTAGGGGTCAATTCATATAGTAATTTCAATTTTTAAATTTTCAATAGACTTGAGCCCCCATTTCCCAAAATTCCATCACTTCCTTGTCAACCAATATATCAATTGATAATTCATTTCCTTATGAATTCATCTTATGAATTTCGCAGTCATCGCAGTTTATTAATCCAAAAGCTGCTAATAAATAACATGTGAAAATGACAGTTGCGTCTCCTACCTAACAGGGCTCAATAAGCTGCGTCGCATAAGCAATGTGCTGAGATGTGTATATCAGAGGAAAAGCGTAGAAATGTCCCACTAGAAAAAATGGGGGGAAAAGAAGAAAGAAGAGAGGAAGCTGAAGAAGAAGAGCCGAAATCGTTGTGCCTTCTTTTTCCGCAACATTTCCAAAATCTGGGAAACAACAAATAAGTCTCCGCAATTGCGTGAAAATTTGTTTATGCGACTTGTTCAGAGCAAACACGCATCAAACGGCAAGTAATTTATTCTGTGGGGTGCCGACATTGACGAAAAATAACATGTAGAGGGGGGGGGGAGGGACAGATATTTAGAAATGACGGGTATCTTTACAAATCAACTTTTTTTTAAATTTTCAGATCTGGTATCGCCGTTGGCTGCTGGTTCAATCGTTGCAGATTTGGAAACGTCCACCATGCGTCAATTGGTGCTATTACACTCAGTTGGCGTGTCCGCATTTAGCGCCTGCCAAGCTTTGGGATTACGCCGGCCATCCCTCGTTTCAATGTCGAGGTGTGTTCGTCTAGAAGTATTTTTCAAAAAGCATTAGGGGATGAAGCATATAGAAGTGAGAGAAGTGTTCTACAGAATCATCTTTAAAATAATTATTAAAAAAAACTTTATTTTTTGGAATTTTTAAACGTGATGATGCCAAAATTCAAGAGATCAAACGATCAGGGAATTTGGTTTTACTAATTTGTAGTCATTTAGTTTAACATTATTTTTCTAGACATGGATATCGACAGTTGGCGTCAGGAATGTGACTGTGTGCATCCATGTGATGTTAAGGGTGTCGTGGATACCATTGTCACTGGAAACGCGCCATCATTTCGCCATGATTTCTTTGCTGCTCAGGTAAAAGTTGATTTATCTAAAGCTCAATTATTTGAAACTAACTTTTTCCAGGTGCACTGCGAGACGCGTAAAAAAGAATGTCACACACGCTCGACGGCGCATGATCGGAGATTGTCGGCCTCATTGTCGAATGAGGATGAGGATGAATATGAGCAGACAACGAGTACCAGTTTTGGGTACACCGGCTGGGGATCACCTCAACGTCTACTAACATTCTTCCTCATTTTATTGTTGATGTTATAACAATGAGGCGATGTAGAAAATGCCGACGAGTAACTCATAACCCCTTCTTGTGAATAGCGACGTCTGCGTGCTGTGATAACTCTTTTTTACTGGTGATAACCTTTCCAGGTTGGTTCTTAGAAATTCTCCTGTTGAAGACAATCTCAAAAATTTTAGTCACATCTAATACATAATAGTTTCAGAGTTTTTGCTCGGTTCCATCAAACTTCTTCGCTCAATTTACGATGTGCTGATTCTTTCATAAATGTGTTTTTGTGAACTGTCATATTAAAAAATTCCCATATTACTTTCAAATTGTCCTTTTTCCCCATTTCTATCTCACCACCCCAATCACAAGGCTTCTAGTGATATTCTAGGTTTTTAGAAAGTCTAGTCAGTGATAACCCGGAAACGCCATCTTGTTATCCTACCGCCAACTTCTTCATTATATGTATGTGATTAATATTCAATTATTTGTCTTTTCTAAAAACCAATCAACTCAATTTTCCGCACTGAAATGTTAGGTAATTAATATCAAAATGATGCAAAATACTGACGTCAGGCTTTTAAATGCTCTTATTTTGTTTGGATTTTCTTTTGCTTTTTGCTAGTGCCTCATAACGGAAAAACATAAGCGACAGTCACTTTCAAAGACAAGTATTTTGCACAAAATGCTCTCAATTTTACCTGTAGCAATAGAATAAAATCGATTCGACGTCGTCAATAGTATTTTTGGCTGTTGTCATTGCATTTCAGTTAGTCTACCATTCACATATGATATCAGTATATAGGGAATTCAATATGAGACTTAGAATTCATGTGAGTGGTGCTTCAGGGGAAGGGGGTGAATCTTCAATCATTCATTGTCCCATTTCCTCAACAATTTCTTGATTCGCAATAATAGACTTTTGTGGAACTTTTAGGACAATCTTTTTAAAATTTCTGGTTTTTTCTCTAAGTATCTTTTTTTGCCACGCCTAACTCAATTCTTTTTTAAATCTACTTCGTCATTCATAAACGGTATATTCAATTAATTTCGGTTCTTTCCTTTCATTGTTACTCCCACATCTGACATCAACAAAAACAATTCGCAAAAATGATTCGCCCATTTATTGATTGATTATCATTACTATTATCCCAATTCACTAATTAGTACATGCCAATGTCCTGTTTTTCTTCTCTCCCTATCTCATTCATCACTTTTCATTGTTCATCTTAGCAACTTTGTATCGTTTACTTTTACTTGTTTAACAATAAAAATATATGTTCTGTGATGATTTTCAAATGGATTGGTACAAAAAAAAGAAAGATGGCGGGAAAAGGCGGTTTTTGACGGAAATTGAATTTCTCTAGCAAGAACGAAAAAAAACGCACCGACTTTCTTGGACTTTGACTTCCGACAGGAGCACGAAAAAACTTGTATTGTGAAAAAAGGGGATTCGAAATGTAGAAACATCCTAAAATCTTCATTGTGAAGTTTATTTAATTGGTTTCTCATATAATTTCCAAAACTCCATTTCTTTTTTTTTAGTCCTCTCACTGTACATCATACGTGGTGCATATTATTTTAGAAGACTGCCGGAAATCTCTTCCATTCAATCTTGAACACGAAGATTGATGATTTGATTAATGGCACGCTTTGAATATATTTAGTCAAAAGAAATATTGTTTTCAGCGAGCAAACATCTAATGTTGTTGTTTTTTTTTCCAGACCGGAAATATATACAGGAATCCGATTCGAATGTAATACTCTGACGGCCACGGCGTGTCGTACATCTTTAGGGAACAAGAGCAATAAAAACATAAATTAAAATTTATTATTAGCACTATTCTTATCAAACAATGAAATCTCCTGATGTAATTTGAACTAGTAATTAAAGAAAAAAATATCGATTCCTCTGGCACTTGGTGGGGATAAGAAAAGTTGAGGCAACTTTATAATTGAACAATATAGGGTTGAAACGCCGTTGTGGGAAATGAACTGGAACTAGATGGAGGTAATTGACACGGAACTTAATCGATGTACAATTGAATTTTGACGAGTGTGGATGTGTTAGCGGAATGAAAACAAAAAGTTGGATGTTTTGGAATTTTTTAACGTTTTGGCATTATGAATTCGGTTTTTTTGTGAATGTGCGTTGGTAATATTATTATAGTTATAAATTATATAAACAATATCTACTGTAAACATGATTATGAAATATTTTTTTGTGAAATGTGTCTTACGGGGAGCAGGTTTTGTTATTTTAAGAGTAAGGCAATTTAATAGCTGGTTTGACTACGGATATGCAAGTTGGGTTTGACTATGTATGAACATTTCAAGTACCGACTATTCATATTATACCACTTATTATGAAGTTTGAATGGGTTTTTCAGCAATTTGCTTCAATTTGCCAAGTGCGGCCAGCGCAGCATTTTCTTCGGCTTCCATTGCGGTAGCTCCGACTCCATGACATACCATCGGATCATCGAAACCAAGTGAAACAAGGGAAAATATTTCGTCACATCCAATTTTCTTTGGAAATGGGGTGTACTGGACACCGAACTTAAATTCGGAGGCGATTCGCTCAAGGTGCTCAAACGCCGGAGCTCTTGTGCCTATATAATTAAAAAATGTAAAAGAATGGACTAAAGTACAAACCATCAAAAGTCATGGAATTCTTCTGCGCCTCTAACTGCTCAAAAAATTCTGAAGCCATAACAGCTACAGCAATCTTTTGCTCTGGTGTTAGATTTCTCTTGCTCTCTTTTAGACGTTTCATGCGCCTAATTTTTCCTTCAAATACAATCTCCATTTTGAGCGGAGCAATTTCCGAGTTCGGATAATTCAGATCTCCGGGAGGCGGGCATGCTTGCACCTCAGTACTAAACGTTACGCGTCGCTTCCCACCTTCAGATTCAGCTTCGTTATTTTCTGCTACTTCTTCAAGTTTTTCTTTCGGTTCACTGCAAACAACTGAAAACGTCATACAACAACTAAAACTGAATTACGTTTCAGCTGGAGGCGTTGCAGAAATTTCTTGCGCTGTTGGAACTGCTTCTCCATCTGCCGTCTCTGATAGTATTTTTGATTCGGTAGACTCGGTAGACTTTTTCTTCAGCAAGCTTTTTCCCGGTGGCGGTAATGGCTTCACATAACCAATTAAAGCGAGCATTGCTTCCGCCGCCGCACGTTTAGCAAGTCTTTTGTTTGGACCGGATCCCACACAACTTTGCTCGCCACATGTGACCTGAATACATTTTGAAAATAGGAGGATAAGGGACGTTAATATTATTACCTTAATCATAAACTCCTTACAACGATTAAGACCATCTTCTCCAACAAGTTGAAATGTGGGATGTGGTTGTTTCTTTGTTTGGAGAACCTGAAAGAAATCCATCATTTCATAGTAAAGTTACAAAGAAAATCCAAAGATTTGATGAAAAATTACTTGAATAAGTCTCGAAACCGGATTTATTTGATGGCCATAATCCGGATCCATTTTCTTATCTTTTACAATCGTCTTTCTTTTTTGATCTTTTTGAACCGACGTCATTTTCTTCTGGGTCCGACAAAAAGACGATGCGATGAATAATGGATTGCTATCTATAATTTTTACTATTTTAGTGAATATATAATATTAATTATTCATACCAATAGTTTTGAGTTGATCTAGAAGAATGGAACAGGCATTCTGCTGCGCTTCTTTCTTCTTTCTTCCATTCCCAATAGCCTCCGCTGTTATTTGATTGAACTCATCAAGAAAAGCACAGCGGACTTTATATTCTCTATCATGCGGCGGGCCGTCTTCTTGCACAACTTCAAAGACCACATTCATCTTCATTTGGTGAGCTTTCTCATGAACATCGCTTATTACCGACTTTTGCTTGTATTTTGGAATGTCATTCTGAAACTGATCGGCTGTTTAAAAACATAACGGCCTTCTTACGATCACCACCTCATTCGGTGATTCGGCTCTTCCATTTAAAGAAATATTCGATAGATGCTCTTTCACTTCAGGGCCCAATAAGCAAAGAGCCTAAACAAATTTTAATGTAATAATTAATTTTATAAAAATTGCTTTACCTTTGAAGCCGCATCCGACTTAGAAGAAATTACAGAATGCCCGAATCCAGAAGCTAAAACCTGATCACCAATGTTCAGTGTGGTAATATAAGTCGGTTTGGAAATAAGGACCTGGGGTGGTGACCCAGCAGGATCTGCTCCGTTATTGACATTTACAGTTGGAGGTCCTGGCACATAACCAACAGCTGTGGGATATAATTGGTAAGATACATCACCAGGAATGATACACTCCTGGTATGTTGCATCATTCGGTCCCGAAGGACATTTTGTGTATACTTCCGTTGAGTATACCGGATCAGGGCGTTCAAGAGCGCGGCATACTTGCAATAGCATTCGAGGCGGTGATAACATATCTTAAAAAGTACTATTTTACAGTTTAAACCTATGAAGGCAATTACCACTTTTCTTTTTCCGCAACGGTTTTTCTGGTGGCATTGGCAGCTTGGTGTTTTCAATCGCTTTTTCCGCTGCAGATTGTTGAGCTTTTTTGATTGAGCATCCGTTGCCTGTAAAGCTCGATTTTTTATTCACAAAATCTCTATTTCTAAAAAAAATTCTCCGCTTTTCTTAAAAATAAGCATAACTGATGGTGACTCATTGTTGTTAATTATACCCTTTTTCATTTCCCAAATTAGTATTCAAACTAAATATAAAATGTCACTTTAAGATTAATCCATCAATATTTAAAGTGAGACCAAATTTTCCAAAACTAGTTCTGTTATCACTTCCAACGTTTCATCATAACAATGATCGCCAGGAATATTTTTCCAATTCACCGCAGCACTTGAAATGCAAGGGATAGTGAGAACATGACAACGTGGGTGGATTTAAACTGAAGAAATACGAAAACCCATTGAGATCGGTCGTATTGAAATCATATTCTATAGTTTTTGTACCACTGGATATAAAAATACCTTCGTAGACTTCTGTTTCAGTTAGGAAAAGCCTAACAGTAAATAATTTCCTATGAGCTGGACCACTCTCGTCAAGAAGATTGTAAACATGCCGCAGTTTATTGAATCGGGCAATCTATGACAAGAAAAAGTGAGAATTATCGATTTTATGCTAATCGGCGTTACATACCTCTGCGACTCTGCACATTGGTGATTTTTCTTTTTCCTCCTGCTTACTATAATTGTAGACATTTGTGAGGGAATCTTTGGCCAGAATATGCTGACCACACCAATGCTGAGGATGCATTCGTGTTCGATCTTCTTCCTCCTGAGCAAAAAATATTACTTATCAAAAAAAAAAACACGAACCTTTGGAGGCACTCTGTTTCCATTTACCTCTGCAGCATTTTGCTTGCCATCACAAAAATTGCTTGAACTTTCTTTCAGCGGCTGCATAGAACTGTAAACGGCCTGCAATAGTGTGGTATTCATTGTAGGCGATGAAAACAAATAGAAAAATAGCGATCGCGGCGGCGACCATCAATATTTCGAAATGCGTTAGCGATGGAGCGCGTTTGCCACCACACATGTTATTCTTCCAACGTGGTTCCTACGTATGCCGTTTCGTGTTTTCTTCCTCGTTTTCTCATATTTTATTGCGTTTTGTTCGCGTTTCAACGAGGATTTTTTTCAGGCAGCCTCGCAGCAAAATGGAGCTTACGCTGATAGCCAGAGTTCGAGATGGGCTCATTCTGGCGACATCGATCGAGGGAAATGATCGAGGGGTTTTTCTGTAAAATCACAATTTCATTGAGTCGTATATATTTTAGGGTGATACGAGCATGGTAAAGTACTCGAATCAGGCTAAAATGCTGTTCAAGAAGTTGAATGGAGCACCTGCCCAGCAAACGTTAGAAAGCGGACCATATGTCTTTCAGTGAGTTTTTTTAAGCAGATGCGATATGCATAACTCTGGCATTGCTAATAATACAAATATTCAAGGTAATTGAATTTCGCAATATGGTTTGTTTTTCTGAATGCTACAAAGTATATGTAAAAAAAATATGAGAAGAAATATGACTCTAGGCGATTTGATTAGGATAATATTACATTTTCGCTTGATGATTTCAGTAAATTTTCCCATATTTTTGAATTTTTATGTCACGAGAACATTTTCAAATATTTTTGATAAGAAAAAAGTGTTGATAATCAAGATTTTTTTTGAAATGAACACATAATCTTAATAAGTTTAATAGATATCGTATTGTTTTTCATAGGATGAGAGAAGGAGCTACCTTTATACGTGTTGTTTGCGGGGAAAAAGTTTTTTTTTTGGGAAATGAGGGTAGATTCAACAATTTCTGAAAAAAAAATTTTAAAAATAAATAAGAAGAAGTGTTTATAAAGATTGTATAATCGGATCATTAGCAACTACTGAATGAATATTTTTATTTCAAAGTTTGCGCTTATCCTGAAGAAATAAATTATGTAATATGATCCAGCTGAATAATAATATGTAGATTCAATCATATTTATGAAAATATAATATGTTGAATTTTGAACGTACCTAAAAACATTTCCACTTAAAAAAACGTTTATAATGTATTTGAAGTTTACTCGAAATTGGAATAACAAGTGTAGTATGAGCACAATCATATATTGAAAGGCAGCAAGCCAAAGATAGTCAATCTATGTAACTTGCAGCTACGTCATCATTGAATCGATTTGCTCTTTAGTGCTTTGTGATAGAAATTTTCCGCGCAAGGCTGCTTTTCAATATCTTAATGATATTGGGCGAGAGTTTCTCAACTACAATGGAAACAAGATTGACACGGTTGTTCGACCATATCACTTTTTAGAATTTGGTAATTCAATTCCTAATTTATCACAAATAATAGAAAAACGATTTCAGACAAATATATTCAACAAGCCAAGCAGAAATATGGGGACACGAATCGCTACACAATGAATGCGGTGTCGAGTGAACTTCAAGACGTCACCCGTATCATGGTGACTAATATCGAAGATGTCATTCACAGAGGAGAGGCTTTGAATAGTGAGATTTGAATGTTTCATTTATAATAGTTGGAAAATTATTGAAAAATAAAATACTAAGAATTCCAATAATTACATACATATATATAAGCTGATTTACCACTAATTATTATAATTTGCGCGTAGAAATTGATTGTTGAGGGAAAATTTTAATAAGATATTTTCAGTTCTTGAAAATCGCGCTTCGGAGCTTTCTGGAATGAGTAAGAAGTATCGTGAGGACGCAAAAGCTCTCAATAGACGATCCACTATCTTCAAAGTCGCTCTTTCGGTTGGAATTCTTGGAATTCTATTCCTAATTTTCCGGTTTGTCATATTCTAAAGAGGCCAACAGCGAAAGGCTCATTTATTTTATTATTTATTGAAGTTGTGAATGAATTGGATTTTCAATTATTCTTTAATTGCTCTTCTTCCCGCTCTTCGGATTCAATTTTCAAATTGCCCAACTTCTCGCGAAGTTCTTTTGCCATTTGTGTTTGATCAACCTTCGAATAATAGTTGTTGGAAACCACATCCCTGTTTTTATTAAATCCCCCGGTTTGCGATTGAGATTGCAATGTAAGCTATAATTTTCCAAGTATGGAAATTAAACTTTTATCTGATTTACCTGTCCACCTAGCCAGGCCATGTAGCGATTGCTGTCTAATTGATCAGCTGTTGTCCGATTTAACCCTTCAATTGACATAGTAGCTTGACGCCCCTTTTGACAGGCAGGTTGATAACTCTAAGCAAAATGAATGGTAAAAAAATTGTAAAAAAAAAACAAATAATACCTGTCCAGGAGAGATTCCCTTCGCTGCCATAGTCTGTCGAGGATCATGAAATCGGGGAATCGCGGCAAGGCATTTTATCTGTTCTTTTTTTTCTAACCGACGGCCACCTGAGGTTTCTGTAAGAGCGTCTCTACGCTTGCCTGAATAAATTTGAAATTTAAAACTGATTAAAAATAAAAAGAGGATAAACTCGCCAATGTCCGAGTTTTTTGCGATTTTGTTCGGTTGATCCCATTTCTTTAATATCGTCTCAGTCATTTTATCGTTGACGATCTTGTTAATTTGAATTCTCTCTTCGCCATTCTGAAAATCGTCAATAAATAAGCTTTTAATTCGCGTTTTCTCTTACATTATCCACAACTTTTGTGACTTGTTCGCGAATATTCCCAAAGGCATTGGATTTGGCTTGGGACGCGCATGGGAAATGCAATGGCGGGCATGTTAAATGAGGCACCACGCCATCGTTGCTTTCGGATAGCTCTTTAGTCGAAGTTATTTTGAGCTCTGCAAGTAATCTTTTTGGCAAATATGAATGAATATTCGTTTTTGATGAAAGAAAATTTTTTCGAATTAAAAAAATTAATGTCCTATATTTAATAAGGTATTATAAATGAATGGAAAATAGTTTTAAAAGATATCGCACGTGTATTCCGGATTGTGCCAAATGAAGCACTTCCTTTCTGGGTTGCAAATTTGTTCGACCCATACTCCCAGGAAATATCATTTGGAAGAATAATCTTCCTCTTATGCTTCTCTTCATTTTGCTTGGCGTACTCCTGAAATTTTTAAATTTAAAAATTTTAGGTTCAGCAATTTGTGAAAGTGTATTGGTAACACAACTTAAAGCAAGCAATCTTTACAAACATGATTTTTTTAAAGTTTTCCAATAAAATATACGAAAAAATGTGTTTCTTTTGAATGATAATAAATGCAGACTCACCGTTTTCGAATCCATTTTTTAAGAAAAAATAGTAGAAATGGTTTCAGAAAATAATGTTGTTCAAACAATAATTAAACGAGTGAGTGTTTCGACGAGGTTCTCGAAATACATGAAGATCAAATAAAGCCCCAAACCGACAAATATCTACCCGCCCGCGCAGAGATAACTGTCAATATTGAGTACTTTTTTTGAGAGAAAAAATAATGAAAAGCCACGGAAGTCTGAAGATATGTCCATGAGAGGAAGCAAATAAAATAAATGATGTTTCTTTTGTGTTTTGAGAGGTCGACACTCCATTCGATTGGACCTCCACAGTGGAAAATGTACTCTATATGATATTATACAATTTTTATCATGCCACGATTCTTGGAATTCAAATACGTGGCTTTTTGTTTCAAAGTTGTGCACTAATTTTAAATTTTTTTTCGGTAAACTTATTTTCACTCTGACCTATTAAGTTAAACACTGAACTTCTTCACATAAAAAAATTTTTTTTTAACAAATTTGTGTTTGCTATTATTAAATTTTCCGCGTAGTATCAAGATTTTCGGATCTTGAGGGCATTACGTAAAGGGTTTGTGGGAAAATGGGAAACGAAAATAACATTGATCAATTTTAAATGGTTTATCAAACACACACACATGTTTGGAGTATAAATATTCATGTTGAGAAGGGGGCAAAATAAATAGAATAAAGCTAGTTTACAAGAAGAATTTTGTCCTTTTCTTTGTGAAATGACAATCTTCGACGAAATTTTCTAAGAACTGAAAAAAATGGCCACTGTTCTTGTAAGTTTCCTAATATCCCCCACAGACGTTTTTTTTCTTTCGTTCTTTTTAGGGCATGCCACCAGCTTCAAATGTCATACTGTTTGTTTATTCACCATTTTTCCATATTTGATTCGATTTCGAAAATGCCAAAACTCGAGGAATAATCAATCAATGGGACAATTCACTGTGTGAAAGCCACGCGTTTTTTTTCTGTGCCCGTCATGGTCGTCGCAATTTTTTTCACCTATTTGACTCGCCGGGCTTGTGCATGACACAAGCACATACACATCTGCAGTTGTTCAAATAAGGACCCTCTGTTTGTGGCAGGAATGCGGGGAATAAGCGCCGAGTATTTTGATGATTTCAATCCCGATATTCATATGGCTGCCACTGCAAACCGAATCCCATTTGATCAAAATGATCGCAAATACAAATGCCTTTGCGGGCTTTTACATATAAAGGTTTGCAGAAAAAAGTATTTTGTTATGGGTCAAAAACAATTTCAGAAGGGTGCTCGGATTGTTGCTGTCCTGGTTAATGTTTTAACAGTGATCAATATAATCTTTAGCTTTACTAGAAGCTCTACTGTAGTGTTTTATACCTTAATGAGGTCCGTTAGTTGCTTTAGTAGGAAAATTAAATGTACGGCATAATTTTAGCGCAGCATTCTCTGCGGTTATTTTTGGCAGCTTATTGTATGGGGTATGGAAGGAAAAGCGACTTTACCTATATCCGTATTTATTCTTTCAAGTAAAAATCACAAGCATCAATATTCTTTCAAATATGTTTTCAGATAATATCTATAATGATCTCGGTGATCATTCTTATAATATTCCTTATATCGATTGCAGTAAATAGCAACATGGTCCTAGATTTGGCAAAAAATTTGGGAAACGTGGATACCACTTCGACACAGGATAAATTGGACGCAGGTTTCAAATTCTAATAATTGATGATTAATTTGTTTATTGAATTTGTGACAGATTTGGCGGTATTCACCATTGTATTTATTCTGTTTGTTTGCATTGGGGGATTGATTCAAGCTTACTTTATTTATGTAAGCATTTTGTCACGCTCAATCATATATTAAGACATTATAGATCATTTACTGTTTCCACAATTTCTTGAAGGACCGGGAGAACTCATTTTCGTTCAACTTCGAATCATATGCGAACAGTTCTTTTGGAGCAGAGTGTCAAGCTCCGCCGCAATATACAACAACCCAAGAAATTGTTGCATAAAACCACATGTATATCTTTCTTTTTTTGCATAAAATAAATTTTGAAGGGACATAATTTATTAAAGAATTATTGCATTGTCACATTTAGAGTTGAGTTGGTGTTTCCAATAATGAATGACGTACGATATTTCGACGGCTTGGCAGGAACTTTGTCTGAAAATTGAGACATCGTGAATATAATTTCGCGAGCTAATTTTTTTACATGGCAATTTCAATACTTTATCCTTTGGTTTATAGCATCCACTATTAATGAAAAAGTGTGAATCAACGATAACCCGAACTCTGAAAATAAATGATTTCATAGATTTTTAATATTGTTATAAAGATAATTCTCACACAGAATTTGAGAACATCATTATGGTAAGGCATTCGTAATCTTTATCCCTGTAGTCGGCTGATGACAGGACGGCACTAATCTCATCTTCGAGTAGGAAATATTCTGATGTTGGGGTGCTCTTATACAGAACAGGATAGTTTGTACTCTCAGCACAGTCGTCTGCAAAACACCAGTCTAAAATTTATAGAATCCGAAAAAAATACCTGTATTAGCTTTGACTTTAATCTGTCCCAGGGCAACATTTCCTTTTCCTTCAACAACCGTCACTCCAACTTTTCCAGAGTTTGTTTCTATTTCTGTTTCGCTATCGGAATCCTTGTTACTTGAAGATCTTCCATCTTTCGTTCGTGTGGTTGTTTCCCATTCAGTTATCGTTTTATTTTGATAACTTCCTCCTCTCGCTTCTCTTCCTTCTTTGGTGTGCGTCGTTATCTGGCTGACAATGGTTGTTTCATTTTGATTAATTCCTCCTTTTGATCTACTCCTTCCTCCAGTCTTGGAAATAGTTTCAGATTCTGTTTCGTAATCAGTGTCAGAATTCGTTAAGCTTTTATTTTTTGATCTTCCTTTTCCTTTTTTATTCTTATTAATAGTTTCCGTTTCTGTATCATATTCGATCGCTGTTTTGGCTGTTCGTGATCCTTTCGATTTATTTTTTCCATTTGAATTTCTCAATGTTTCCGACTCCGTATCGTAATCCGATTCATAATCAGTCTTGGATTTTTCTTTCGATTTAGTTTTTTTGGTTGATTTCTTTGTTACTTCCACCTCATTCTCTTCTTCAGTTTCATGTTCTGTCACTGATGTGCTCACCACCACCTTCTTTTTTTTCTTAGTAGTCTTGGTTATCCCAGTGGTTTTGTTTTCAAATGTATTCTCCACAACTTCCTCCGCCGAATCGCTATTCGAATCTGTTTGTTCGTCAGAGTCGCGTCCGTTTTTAGAAATGTTTGTCAGTTCTGACGTGGCTTTGGCGCCCAATATTTCGGTTTCGTCGTCTCCAGACGTCGCATTTCCTCTTTTAATTGTTTTAGTCTTAACAATTGTCGAGTTTCCACCATCTGACGAGCTTTCTTCGACAGTTTCGGTTTCTGTCACTGACTTATTTTTCTTTATCGATTTTTTCTTTGAAATTGATTGACTCCTTGTAATTGTCGAGTTTGTGCTTCCGCTTTCGTCGACCTCATTACCAATAATCGTTGCATTTTTGTTAACAATCACTACATTTCCAGGAGTCGTCAGTTTGGCAGACTTTGCACCAATTTCCACCAATTTTGAAATATTTGTCGGCTTTACTGTCGTTGTAACGTTCCCAGACGTCACATTTCCTCTTTTAATTGTTTTAGTCTGAACAATTGTCGAGTTTCCACCACCTGACGAGCTTTCTTCGACAGTTTCGGTTTCTGTCACTGACTTATTTTTCTTTATCGATTTTTTCTTTGAAATTGATTGACTCCTTGTAATTGTCGTGTTTGTGCTTCCGCTTTCGTCGACCTCATTACCAATAATCGTTGCATTTTTGTTAACAATCACTACATTTCCAGGAGTCGTCAGTTTGGCAGACTTTGCACCAATCTCCGCCAATTTTGGAATATTTGTCGGCTTGACTGTCGTTGTAACGTTCGATTGGAAGTTGATTTTCATTTTAGGTGTAGCAACTATTTTGGTATTGTTCAAAGTTTTTGTAGTAGTGGATATTGACTTTGGTGTGGTTGTCGTTGGTTTTGTTGTGGTTATCGTTGGTTTCGGTGTGGTTGTCGTTGGTTTCGGTGTAGGTTTTGGTGTAGGTTTTGGTGTAGGTTTCGGTGTAGGTTTTGGTGTAGGTTTTGGTGTAGGTTTTGGTGTAGGTTTTGGTGTAGGTTTTGGTGTAGGTTTTGGTGTAGGTTTTGGTGTAGGTCTCGGTGTTGGCGGTGGCGGTGGCGGTGGTGGTGGTGGTGGTGGTCTTGGACTAGGAGTTCGAAATAAAGACCGAAGCATCGCAATATCGCTTGGCTGCAAAAAAGTTAATACGTCCTAAATATTAAAAAATTTTAAAAATTTACTGAGATAGTTGGTGTAGGATTAGCTCGTATTCGTATTCTTATTGGGATGAGTGGCGGAGAATATGAAGGGGGATTGTATCGAATAACGGGCCGATACACTGGTGGATAATAAACAGTGGGGTTGAATCTAATCACTGGCGGATAATAAACAGTTGGGCGATAGACTGGGCGTTGCCAACAACATAATGTAATGGCAGGTAGGAGTAGCAGAAACAATACATTCATTGAAATACTCCTGAATATGAAGAATAATTTCTTCAGTGGTTTATATACAACAAACATTTTTTTGTATAATTCAATTATGGCTGATAATTGAGCGTAATTGAACAACAACGTCATAATTAAAAGCAAATTAATCGAAAAAAAAAACTGAAAATAAAAAAGAAATGGTTGCGAGGGGTTTCGGGATGATATCAAACAATCACCTTGCATAAAAAGTAAAGACTCCCACAACTACAAATGCAACACTCAAGCGCTGAAAACAACAAACAGTCTAACCAGCCGTTATGATAATACCAAAACCACAATTTGATTCTCACAAATTATTGTTTTAAAATTTTAGTTGTCCCTGAATTTTTCCGGCGACTTGCTAAATAACAAACAACTGGTTTAAGAAGAATTTTTCTTGACCTGCTCTTATTCATATTAACCTTTAATTAAAATCTTTTTTAAAATAACAATCAATTAGCCAATAGCCTTGAAAAGGGCCGTTGGAATTTTAGAGCAGTAAGGTGTCTCTGAATACTTCTTACGACGTGCCAGGTCGTTGAGAAGCCGTCCGAAAAAGGATGAGTGTCTTCAACCTACGTGAGACGGTGTACCGATTAGCCTGACTCGGCCTAAAAAGGACCGAGCCAGTTGATCTCCTTCGCCACGTAGAGGCTCGGTACTTGAAGGAGAGGCTCACCAGCATCAGGCCGAAACCTGATGTGGGTCATCGCCGATCCCACCATGGGGATCACACAAGGACATCCCACAACTATCATCCGAGGATAATAGAAGTAGAAGTGGTTGTGCAAGCCACGTCTGGCTGGGCCCCGGGTCTACTGGTGATATGGTAATGTGGTTTTGTCTTCTCAGCACAGCAGCTTACCACAAAGTAGCAGCAAGCCACTACAATGTAGCAAGCTACTATGCCAAGAAGCACGGTCCATGTGCACCCGAAAGGCTGGACATATTGACATAGCTGGCCAAACCACGTCAATATAGGTCAGGTCCAGATGACATCCTAACTAGTATGGAGGACACCCGGTGAAGCAAACTTCTAAAGCATAACCATCCATAACGCCCACTAGCAGTTTCCAAGCACTCGAGAGTACTTGAAACGGACGTTTGGGTAGGGTTTGATTCCCGGCTACGGAATCAGGGCTGAAGGGCTTGCCAGGCCAATCACCCGAGTTTAGGATACAGCGGATAAGCCGCCATCCAGCCAACGCCTCGGCACTAAAGGGGATGGGAAGCCTCGGCGCTTTTGGGGATTTGCCGACTACGGCCTAAAAATTGCCGACTACGGCCTAAAAATTGCCGACTACGGCGGATTAAGTAGGCTAGGGACACTTAGGATGTTAGATTCTTAGGCTTAGTGGTGTGAGATACCTAGTTGCGGTGTCCTTCCATCGGCGGCAGCAGAAGTGATACCTAAACATACACACGCACACAGATCTGAAAAACAATTAAAAAGATCTGAAAAAATTTAAAAAAGTAAAATAATAAAACAAAAATACAAAAGGGGAAGCCAGTCATTAGTGGAACGACTGGCATGGCCGTAAGTGGTACGACTTTCCCCTAAATAAAGGAGAGAAACAGTAGGACCGAGAGAGAGATGGAGAATCCCAAGTGGTGGGATATAGAATGGGATGCCGCAAGTGGTACGGCAGGAAGAAGGGGGAATCAGTCGACTGATAGAGAGAAGGGACAGTCGCAAGTGGTACGACTGGTGGCAAGAAAAGGGTAGGGAAGCCGGCATTCCCCGAAAAAGAAGAAGAGATGGTCCCAAACGGTAGGACGAGAGAAATGGAAGCCGTAAGTGGTACGACTTGGGTAAGTAAAAAATAAATGAAAAATAAGTTTGAAAAAGTAAAAAAAAAAGTAAAAAAAAAAGTTTTAAAAAAAGTTAATAAAAAAGTTGAAAAAGTTAAAAAATTACCAAAAAATACCAAATACCCGACGTTGTTGTTCTTCCTCTTCGTGCCTTCAAGACAACGCCTCCGAACAGAGTCTTTCGATTCAAAATTCCTGCAATGATTCGAGTTATTCTGATTGATGGTGACACCTATCTTACCATTAGATTCCGCTTCCTCGCTCTACTCGATGCCCCGGGCAGCATCGACCTTTCGCCTCTCCTCTTTCTTGCTCATCTTCACGTGACATGTCTACTCATGAATGTGGGTTTAACGTCAGCCTGGACGCGGCACTGCAGTAGGGTTAGTACTGGCTGACGGAGCCGCACCAGTCGAGAATCCCCGACACTTTCAACACATCACATCCAAAGAGCTCGAATGAGGAACGACTTGTGGCTCATCGGATCTGTAATTCAAAGAGTTAAGAAAAAGGATTGCGAAGAATTTTGACATACCGAGTGAATCCTTGGCCACGGCGAGCCCGCAGGATATGCGGGTAACGGCCAGCCCACAGAATACGCGTACCACGACGAGGAGCCCGCAGGTTATGCAGGGCACGGCGGGTCCGCATGATATGCGGGGCAAGACGAGGAGCCCGCAGGTTATGCGGGGCACGACGAGCCCGCATAATATGTGGGCTGCTCGCAACTCAGAGAGCTGCGAGAATGACCAAATTGCAATTCCGCCGGCTATTTATAGTGCCACTGGAGTCGGTGCGAAACTTGCAATGGAGCGCATTTGGCGAAGCGAACTGTAAATCTATGCCAAGTCATCGTAGATTCTCTTAGGTTAGCACACTCTCTGATCACAGACAGTGACGCACTTTCCCGATCGACGCTGTATTGCGTTAGAGCACACTTGCCTCATAAAAAAACCGCTGGAGCAGGGCTTGATTGCGAATTCCTGGCAATAATGGAGCATTTTGATTAGTAATTTGACTGATGCAATTAAATTATTTTTATATTATTATATAATTACCAGATAAAAACCGTTTTCATTCTTGGCTGCATTAATTTATTTATAACAAATTAATTTCTTAATACTCCGTTTTTTTTTCGGATAATTTTCAAAAATTTTTAGTTGTTAAACGTAACGAAAACAATTGTACCACTTGAATAAAGAAAACACTTTGCGTTGCAGCAAAATATTTTATGCAATTTTCAATTGTTTCGCTGCATAGATTATTGTGAAAATCAATTAATTCTTCAAGATTTATTCCAAATGCCTAAAAGAACACGTCGAATTTCACGATAGACTTTCGGTTTTTGCAATCGAAGATGTCCAATTTTTTCATTTTCGAATCGTATGTTGGTTTTGTCTCAAAGGTCATTGTATCCACATTGTTAAAAACTCTCGGAACAAGCACTGAACGCGAATCTTTTGTTGGTGAAATGCTGAAAGTAAAAAAAATGACTGATTGAACTGTTGACAATTTTCCTTACGTAATACATTCATATTTTTTATCTAGCTTCACGCTATATACCGTGCTTGGGAACAATGTCAAAAAATTGTTATATTTGTATGTATGCATAAGCAAGGAAGTAGTATCATCATTAGTTATCTAAAAATGAATTTTTTTTAATTTTGATGAAATTCATTACCATTATGGGGCCGTTTAAGCATAGCGTCTCGTTATAATCTTTTGCGCAGTGGCTATTGTCATTAAAAGATCCCTGACTCTCCTTTAAAGGCGCCATTTTCATTCCATCCAATTTCTCATCAGCGTGTTTCGTAATAAATGTGCCACGTTCTAAGAGATAAATAAATTTATAGAAATGCTTCAGAAGCGTTACTTCTAGAATACGCAATTTTTACATCGATGGAATCAGTTTCCACAACGTCAGTCTCGTTATAAATTTTGAATTTAATCTCCACATTGTCGCGACGCGTAGAATTTTTGACTGCAATTTCAGATTCTCTTTAAAAATAGAAACCAAAGAAAACTGTTATACCATCATATTCAATGGTTGCAATACCACCCGCTTTTGTTTTATGGATTTTCGGTTTTGTTAATTGTCTCAAAAGCGTTGTCTTTGAAATGAAGGTTACGCTGTAATATGCATGGTTTCCCTGAGTTTCTGGAATTTATTTTTTTTTTACTTTTCAAAATTTTTTGTTAATATGTAAAGACTCATTACAATACGCTCTCCTGGCGGCAAGTAAACTTTTTCTGAAATTGCACATTTCATACAATTATTTCTGAAAATGCGACAAAAATTTACCATCAGGGCTGTAGACTTTCGCAGGACAACCAGAAACTTGAACATAACGAATAGCCCGCTCTGCGTAGCAATGAAGAATTAAAATTAGAAATATAGAGAGGACAATAATGTTCGTCATTTCAAAATTTTCAATTATGACTTTTTCATTTGATTATATAGGCATTGTTAATTAGCAAATTACGTTCAATTTTTTGCTCATTTGCAATTATGGAAAATTAAATTAATTTATTGTAAAAAATAAACGGAAAAATCATTTTTTTTGTCTTTTCCATAAATGACATCAAAAATGGGACTGTGAAAGTGCATTAAGGTATTAAAATTATTTCACATTGAAGCACTTTATCAAAGTGCACCATTTCGTCCCTCTGAATTCCCGGGGTATCCAATTTTCTCGTAATAGTGTAGATTCATGAAGCAGAGGCGTGCGGATTGAATTTCCGCCAAGTCTCAATGATTTAACTCTTTCAATTTCCGCCAAACTAAACTTCTGACCGGATTAGTGGTCAATATAGAAAAAATCGTCGAGAATTATCTGGTACGTACTATAAAAATCATTTCTACTGAATCAAATTTATTAAAAATTCTAATTTTAAACATTTACAAAATTAATTTAAAAACCATGCTAAGCCTTTGGCTGCCCCCAAAAACCAATTTTCCGCAAAATTTCTTCCTTACAAAAAAAACCAACTCCAAAGATCATAAAAATTTTTTTCGCAGAGGCCAAAAACACATATGACGTTCCCTTGGCAATGTCACCGAATTTCTGGAATTTCAATTGTTTCTAGAGTTGGTAAAAAAAATAACACCCGCCTGCGCACAGAAGACTGAAGAGAATGATTCAGGCAACCCACGTTTTTTTCCCATGGCAATCGTTGTTGACGAC